GCAGAAAAAGCTGGAAGAAATTGTTCAAAATATTCAAAGACACTCCCTTTTGGGAAACCCAGTCTTAAAATTTGGCCAGGGATTCTTAATATATGGCAGTTTCTTGAATTAAAATGTTTTATTAAAGTTGGTATGTCCCTGACTGGCATCCAACAAATATCTAGAATGTGCTATTCTATTTACAGCAGAGTTCGCACTAAAAACAGTATTTCTGATGCTCATTGAGTTATCACAAAGGCCGTTTAGACACTGAAATCTTCTGAGGTAGCCATTAATTCAGGAACGGATGAGATGAAGCTCCAGGGCTATATGTGCTTGCCCAATTTCCTTTTTAATGTCTCCTTAGACAAAACCACCACATTTCAGGCAGTAAATTCTAGCATAAAGCTGGATTTAGCACCATTTAATAAATAAAGAGAATGTTTTTTTCAAAACCGGTGCAATATTGTGGTTAGAAAGTTGGACAGGACAGAGGAGAACCGCCCGGAGTCCTTCGGGATTGGGCAGCATATAAATATATTTAATAAATAATAAACCAGGCATAAATCAACTCTCAACAATGGAATTTCCTGGGGTGACTTTAGCCTAATTCCACTCTCAGAAGGACTGAGGGGGGAAAGGTAGGTAGGTAGGTAGGTAGGTAGGTAGGAAGGAAGGAAGGAAAGAAGGAAGGAGGAAGGAAGGATCATATCTGCTGCTTTAAGCTCCTGCAGAAAAGGTGGAAAATAAATCTAACAAACTCATTTCCTTAATTGCAAAACAGAACCAATGTGATACAGTATTTAATGTGCCGTTTGACTCTCTGTCAATCCAATCAACCTTACAGGGTTGCTGTGACGGGGGAAAATCAGGAGGAAGAAATGCTGGCATCTTTGCTTCCGGAGGTAAGATAAAATAAATAACATTACATCAATCCAGGAAAAATTTAAAACACCTGTTTGTGTTGCTCCAATAAACTATCGTTAACTCTCCCTTCTGGAAATTATCTACTCGAGTGGTGGGTTTCAAATATTNGGACTTCAACTCCCAGAATTCTCCAGACAGCTTTGCTGGCTGGGGAATTCTGGGAGTTGAAGTTTACCCATCTTTGAGTAGCCGAGGTTGAACGGCTAGTGTAGGGTCTCCTGCTCGGGCAGAGGGTTGGACTAGAAGACCTCCAAGGTCCCTTCCAGGCCCTACTATCTATGTTCTACTTCTTTAAGGTCAAAACAAAACCCAGAGGATTCAAAAACATCTGAATAGAACCGGAAATAGACATCACCTCACTAAAGCCGAGGCACTTTTGAGGAAAACTGACTCCTGCTCAAAACAAAATCCATATTATATGCTTAGCGGCAGTGTGGAAGGGGCTTGATGCTGCTCTCTTGCTTGCTTAATTTCTCAGCCTCATATGAGGGATTAACTGGTGGTCTCCCATCCAATGACTAACTGGGCCAATCCCTGATTAGTTTCTTCGAGAGCCAAAATGGCCGCCGTGCTGCCATTCGCTAATGAGTTACTGACTGCTATGAAATCTGGAGCAAAAAAAATCAAATCTCCTCTCCAGAAGTGGTATTCTACCGGTTCTCACCAGTTCGGGCGAACCAGTAGTGGCGGCGACGGCAAGATGCTTCGCCCACCCGTTATCACAGATGCTCTGCACATGCGCGCGCTCCCAGTAACAAACCGGTAACTAGTGAAGATAAGAGGATTTCATGCCTGCTCCTTTCCCTTCACAAGTTCAGCCCTCATTTATTTTCCCCCCGTGCTAAAATTTAGCCTTGGTTAATATAACATAGGGACGTGGTGGCTCAGCGGCTAAGACGCTGAGCTTGTCGGTCAGAAAGGTTGGCAGTTCAACGGTTCGAATCCCTAGCCCACATAACGGAGTGAGCTCCCGTGACTTGTCCCAGCTTCTGCCAACCTAGCAGTTCGAAAGCACGTAAAAAATGCAAGTCGAAAAATAGGAACCATCTTTGGTGGGAAGGGAACAGTGTCCCGTACTCCTTTGGTGTTTAGTTATGCTGGCCACATGACCACAGAGATGTCTTCAGACAGCACCGGCTCTTCGGCTTTGAAATGGAAATGAGCCCCTCCCCCTAGAGTCGGGAACGACTAGCACATATGTGCGAGGGGAACCTTTACCTTTACCTTAATATAACATGTTATTTGTGGATGGCAGAGTGATTTAGGGACCTGAGAAGCTGTGCTTTAACCGAAGACACCCTCTTTAGCTAAGGTAGTGCTTTTAATGTTGAGTCAAACTCTGTGTAGGGTTTAACATAATATAGAACAATAGGGTTGGAAGGGACCTTGGAGGTCTTCTAGTCCAACCCCCTGCTCAAGCAGGAGACCCTTACACCATTTCTGACAAATGGTTGTCCAATCTCTTCTTCAAAAGCTCCAGCCTTGGAGCACCCACAACTTCTGGAGGCAAGTCGTTCCACTGACGGGGGAAATTTCAC